CACTACCAACAGTAGCATCCACACAACGTAATAGCAAATCATAGATTTAATAGTATATAGATCTATGACAAAAGACAAAAGTACATTTCTAAGAAAACAATAATCTGTGTTGCTGTGAAAGTGAAAACAATGATTACTTAAATTTACAGAAATATTATTCTCTGAGGTAATGGAAAATCATTTATTTTAACACAATTAGAAAAAAAACACTTAAATTTTTTAGGAATAAAATGGATATTTTACATAGAGCTAATTTTTCTTTAGGTCCTATTAGTATTGATCTCATTGAAAATAACTTATATCTTGGTGGATTAGTTGCAGCAAAAGATATTAATACATTAAATAAGTATAGAATAACCCATATAATAACTATTGATACCTGCCCGTTACCTCGTAATATATTGGAATTAAAACATATCACTACAAAATACATTCAGTTATCAGATCAACCAAAGGAAGACCTTCTGTCACATTTTGATGAGACGGACAGATTTATAAAGGAAGGAGTGTCGAAAGGTGCTGTATTAGTACATTGCTACTTTGGCGTTTCAAGAAGTGCCACTGTAGTGATAGCCTATGTTATGAAAAAATATCAGTTGACATACCATGAAGCATTTGAACGAGTTAAAGCTAGAAGAAGTATAGTTTACCCCAATCAGGGATTTGTAACCCAACTGAAACTTTATAGAGAAATGGGATATACTATTAATCCTAGAAACATGCACTTTAAGATTTTCAAATTAACAGTAGCAGCTGACAGAGTAAGAAAAGTGAAAATCTTGCCTCAAAATTTCCTGGATCTCATACAACCAGATCCGGATTTAGTCCAAATTCAACCTGAACCAAAAGTTTATCGCTGCAAAAAGTGTAGGCGGATATTGGCTTCAGAATCAAACTTGATCATTCATCAAGATAAAGGTGTAAACTGTACGAAGACTTATTTCATTGAACCCATGGCTTGGATGCACGTTGCGTTAGTAACAAATGGAAAATTACAGTGCCCAAAGTGCTCGGCTAAATTAGGCTCCTTCAGCTGGATTATGGGTTGCCAGTGCCCTTGTGGTGTCCAAGTTGCACCGGCTTTCTATTTAACTCCTTCGAAAGTAGATTTCACTAATGTTGTTAAAAATGTTGAAATGACATTTTAACTGTAATAAAATATGTGTTAAATATATGTACAGGGTCTGATGCATCATATTCTTTCTCATATAGGTAGGTATTTGAAGTTTTAGTTAAGCTTGCCTATTATTTGTGATAAACGGGAAAACAAATTTGAATGGAATGTAATATGAGGGTAATTTGAAAAATTCAAAATCTCCTTTAAGGTTTACAAAACAGAGGTTGCTAAAGTTCTTCGTCTAACAAAAATATTTTTTTCTTATGGAAATAATTGAACATCATTGCCAAATCCTGGAAGCAACAAGAAATAGTATTGAGAAAATTTTGCTGTCAATATCATCCAATAACAAGTCAAAAAAGTATTGTTTAACAGATTTATCAGTTTAATTTGAAAGTTTATGGACAGTCATATGATAAATCAACAAATATTTCATGTTGCTATGAATTTTTCAAATTACTGCGAGTTAGAAGTTAGAAAATCTTTATTGTATATTTGATTATATCAATACACACTTCAACAAAATTGGCGCATCTTCAAAATGGGTCCCAATTTCACAATTAATTTTCTTAGGATCAACTTTTTCAAAAATTGACCCTGTAGTATCAGCTAAAATAATTAATTTGTCCCATCATTTTGAATAATTTGCTTTTTTATTCATATTACATATTATCTTTATTATTATTTGGAATATAGAGTTAACCACACTAGATTACTATAGTAATATAAAAATTTAAATAACAAAAAAAATCAGTGAACAAGAACAAAGAAAAAAGTCAATCGATACTTGCCAAATATTTGTCAAACATAAACAAATTCCATATCGCGTGAATACTGTATGTGGATACATCCGAAATTCAAAAACATATATTCGCATGCCACATATTCCCCAAAGCCATTTGTATTTATATTTGAGGAGATATTTATCATGTGCTCATATTTCATATCATGTATGGTACCTACATCTATTTTGGAAAAATAATCTACAAATATTTGGCACATTTATGTTCCACAAATTCTTCGTGACTACCCCGACATCTAAAGCTGGTTCATGTTGATAATTCAACATCAGACAATATTTTCTTGATTAATGTCCTCTGAGCAGGGACGTATTTTCCTAAAGGCGCAGGGGGCCATTGCCCAGAGCGGCCAAAGAGTTCTGGGTTTTTTTGCCGCCGATCATATGCACCCAGAGCGCATAATTTAGAAATACGTCCCTGCCTCTGAGCATGTTTTTGGTGTTGTCAAAGAAGGCAAGTAGGGATTGATCATTTTTAAGTTGTCTATTGTCACTGTTTTTTTAATGTTATCATTTTTTAAACGTTATAAGAGATAATGACCTCAGCAGGCTTCGTAGCAACCTGGAAAACCGGGAAAAGTCAGGCAAATCTTCTTCATAAAAAATTGAGGAATTTTAAAAATTTTCATGAGTCAGGGAATTTGACGTTTGCTACTGGAAATTTTGTGAAACCAGGCCTTGGGTTCTTGAAAGAGAAAACTAATTGTGGTTTTGAAACCTTTATAAGAGGTTCTTTGGGTATAAAAAAGATTATGGAGTCCAGTCTAGAAAAAGACTATTGCATAAACATCAATTAGTATATAAAAATAAACTTCATGTGACTTGGATTTTTTTTTGTTCAGGGAAAACCTGGAAAAGTCAGGGAATTCTATATTACTTTTGAACTATGAACCATGGACCTGAATCAAAAAACAAATTATTCAGAAAAGATGGAAATATAGTATGATGAATCAAACAGTAGACATAGCTATTTTAGTTGCCCAGCCTACAAGATTTTTCCAATTTTGGAGCAAAAAATGTATGCTCTGTTGCGTCTTATTTGATGGAAACTGAAATTTAAATACACATTTCTCATTCAGTGTTGTTACTGGGGATTAAAATAAAAAAAAATAAATTCAAAATCTCAAGAAAAAAATCGTCATTATTATTGGGGCCAATTTTTAGCAATACAATCATTTTGATGTAAAGTGTATTCTGGAGTTGTGGGAAGTGTAGCAAAGCTACAGCACTTAGGCCCCATTGGGCCCCTTGTACATCCTCCCATTAGAGAGATCAACCCGCCTGAGCCGCCAGCCAGCCTATTACAGTGAAGAAGGTGGTGACGTTGCTCAGGGGGATCTCTCTAATATAGGCCATTGAAGGCCAGCGTTCTCCCAACATGGACTCTCTTGTTGACGAGACGTCAGTGCATTCACATAGTACATGCAATACAGTCTCATCTTCCTGTTCACAGCCCCTACAAAGAGGTGTTTCACACTTCCCCGTATTGTAAAGATGTTTCCTTAGCCAACAGTGTCCAGTTTGAATACCTGTCACCAGGCGAAGATTTGACCTAGACATGGCCAGGTATTTCTTGGCTGTGTCTTTGCTAGGATACACTAAGAGCTCCTTAGCGAAGTGACAGCTAATTGTTTCATCCCACCCTTTCATAAACTCTTTGTGGGTGTCTTCCTTAATAATTCCAGCAAGTGCCGACAACGGAAGCACACTGGAGGGACCGGGTCCGAAAATGTGGAGGCCCGATGCGCTCCTGGCTAGCTTGTCAGCTTCTTTATTGCCATAGCACCGCTTGTGTCCTTTACCCAGCATACATATATGCTGTTAGCATCCGAGGCCACAACCAGTGCTTCATGGCATTCCCATACTGTCTTAATCATTATCTTATGATTACGCAAGGTCAGTAGTACTTGTCTACTATCCGTGTAGATTCTAATGGTTTTGTCCATAGTATGTCTGAGGGCAATTTCCTTAGAGGCTATGGTTATGCCTGCTAACTCCGTTTGTACAACGGTAGTGTAAAGTGTATTATTGACTAACCAAATTTTTTTCACAGGAAAACATATTTTCCTTTATTTTTAATGTTAATAACGCTAATAAAAAATTTTTTAATGCTTGACAATTGACCCTGTACAATACTTCCAAAGATTCCAAATGCAACCTTTTCTCTTACCGAAAAATATTTAAATAATTTTTCTTGAAATTATTTTTTTAGCAACTTAGAACAAACTAAGGATAAGTACCTATGATGAAAACAAATATGTTTTTTAAGTATTGTTAAACAATTTTCTTGTTGAAATCCTGTTAGTATTACGTTTTAAGTCGGGTCAATATTCTTGGTACTGTTTAAAAAGCAGTCTAGATTAGAAAATTCACAAATTTTATATGTTTAGAGAATATTGACTCGGACCCACATTGTTTCGAAATCTTTATGTTTATTTATAATACAAAGATTAATTTATCTTCTTGTTGACAAATATGATGTTTGTAAAAATAATGTGAAATAAACTTCACAATATATAATTTTATTTTTAATTATACTACTAATAAACTTAAGGTGCGCTTATAACCAGTGCAAAATGCAGAAAAAGCAATCTAATTTCAAAGCTAGAAATTTTAAACTGCTGAAGTCATAAATAACAATAATACATTATTGCAAAGAAAGATGGTTCTTGTTGCTTTTTGTTTGTCGTTCTCCATTACTCTTGAAAACGTATCATTAATATAGTTCACAGTACAGCCCTCCCCCCTCGATAGTTGATTACCACATACTTTATAACTCGTGAGGAGCTTCGTTTTGAGTCTACCACACTTTTCCTCTGCGACTTTTCTCGATTCCTCCGCTTTTCCGCTCGGAAAAGTCTAAAAACATGGCAATTTCCCGGGGTTCTGAAAAGTCAAAACCACATCTTTTTTTTTATCTTACGTCACTGGAAATTTTGTTGCAAATGCCGATTTAAATTTGTCTGACAGAAATTCTTCCGACATTGACGTGTCTACCGGCCGAAACATGCCAAAATGACTAGGTATTGAAAATCAATTACCACATAGGTGATTTAGTAAAATTTATTGTAAATAATTAATTCAGTCAAAAAGTATTGTTGTCCGACAAATTTCAAACCGCATTTTATCAGTCGAGAGCTGGAAATCAGAATTTTCACGGGGTATGTTAAATCAATTATAGTCCGACAAAAATATATCCGCAAATCGTCAGTCCGACAAAATAAGATGAAAAAAATTTTGTAAAAAATGTACACGTATTTATAATTTCTAAAGGTATTTTCATGTATTAAGCAAAATTCCATATAAATAATATATTTTTCGTTTTATTCTTGTAATTGTAAATCTCTTATGCTCAATTTAATCAAATAAATATCGAGAAAAGAATTAAACGATTTCAAAAAAGTATGTATGAATTTATGTTGAAATCAGAATGCAATCGCGCAGAAGTGAAGTATTATTATCACAATCGCATATCCCAGCTTAAAAGTTATTGAAATCAACCTGTTTGCGTATATACATATAATTATATATTTTTGCAATTAATCATCTTGTATAATTAAACCATAAATATAAGCTATTAAAATGAGACAGTGTCCGAGGAAGAAAAACGCATAGCAAACCTAAGTAGGTATTTATTTTCAGGATGTTCCGAATAGTGCAAATACTGAGAATAGACGACCTAGCTCTTTCTAGTAAATCTATCCTCCTTTAACTTATTAACGAAGCGCTTTGTAATGTCAATACGCACCAAGAATTTGTAGTGGGGCGCGATAGAAAGAGAATCGCTCTGATGGTGGTGACTTTAAGTTGCCCATGATTGTACTATACTGGTTTACTACTAAACCTGTTATAGTTGCTACTACTCATGAAAGTAACATGAGGCGGGAACTTTTAAAGTATTATAGGAGAAAATAGTTTGAATATGTCAAATTTTGTATTTATTAATCGTCTCAAAAATAACTTCATTTGTTTATAACTTTTAAATTTTTAAGCATAAAATAAGCAATATTATAATTATTTATTTGAAACAAATAATAATTTACATAATAATAATTAATAACCAGTTATAAATATGAAATTTTTGGAGTGAAAAAATTAAATTTCATCACGATTATCGATTTTTTAATAATCTGCGGACATTAAATCGTCGGACACTTATATCACTATTTTGTACAGTAAATTTAAAAGTGGAAAAAATGAAAATTAGATATGTGGTAACTGATTTATCATACCCCCTGAAAATTCCGATTTACAGCTTTCGGACTGAAAAAACGCAGCTTAAAATTTGATGGACAATACTTTTTGACTGAATTCATTATTTACAATTAATTTTACTAAAAATTACCTATGTGGTAATTGATTTTCAATAACCTGTCATTTTGGCATGTTTCAGCCCGTAGATACGTCAATGTCGGAAGAATTTCTGTCGGACAAATTTAAATCGGCATTTGCAACAAAATTTCCAGTAACTTCAGTTAAAAAAAAAGATGTGGTCTTGACTTTTCAAGACTCCGGGAAATTGCCATGTTTTTGGACTTTTCCGAGTGGAAAAGCGGAGAAATTGAGAAAAGTCGTAGATGAAAGACATAGACTCGTCAAAACGAAGCTCCTCACAAGTTATAAAGTATGTGGTAATCAACTTTCCAGGGGGGGCCTGTACTGTGGGCTAATAGTAAAGTTAAGGAATTTTAGAACCATCGGAAATTAAAATAATTTAATATAACACCTAAAGGCTAAAAGTATACCTTTGATGTAACATAAATATAGGTTGGAAATATTAAATATTCAGATTTAAAGTAACATGAAATTTTTTTATTAAAAAAATTTCTATCATACAGGAAATAACCATAAGATACAAAGAATTATCACAATATTACAAAAATAAATATTAAATGTTTTTTAATATTTGAAAAATATTTTATTAGAGAACTGCAGTTTTAAAATTTGTCGACCAAATTTAAAATATGTTGCTGCTCCTGATCTCTCCAATCTTTGTCCCCTTCCTCCCCCAGGTTTCCCGCATACTCCCTCATAATGTGCCTAATCGTCTTCAGTGATGCTCCCCTAAGGTTCAATATTTGCATAACGCGTTGTTTAATACTAGTAGGACCAGCGGCACACACCTCCACTATAATATAATCAACTAACTGTAAAGTAAAAAGCCCCCCCTCTAACCTCTTCAAATAAACGGCATCCTCGTCTTCTTCATTGTCCTCTATCGTTTCATCGAGAGCCTCGACTTTTTCAAGGTATTTGAAATGTAGCTCTAGAAGACGGTCCACTTTTTCGTGATCATTCTCTGTAAACTTACTCACAAGTCTTTGCCTTTGAGAACCCCGACAGTTCCTCAACATTGACGCGATGATAGAGCAGACATGTTCTTCGTGCTCCTCTGCCAGTAATACCCTTTTTCTATTCTTTTTTGGGGTCTTCATGAACAAGGGAAATATTGTCCTTAATCCCAATATATCTACGAATTTGTTACAGTTGTCTTTACCGTTAGGTCCAGACATTGCATAATCTAACACCTTTAAAGATCCATTTCGTGAAGTTTTCTTTTCTCTTAACATTAAATTCATAAGTTGTAATCCTTCCCCTTTCAAAAAACGGTCTCTGTTAGTCACCACCATCAAAGCACTGCACAAACAATTAAAAAGATTTTCCATAAGTTCATGTTCTTCGGCACTGTTAGGATCGTGACGTTTGTAGAAAGCAAGTTGTTGTAATAAAGTGTCGATTCCATCAAGTTCTCCTAATGCCACCCTGTTTTTTTCGTTGTCCTGAAGTAAAATAGATAACACCTCACTTGCGTATAATTTATTTGCGTCGAAAGGGTTTTTTAATCTCAACCTCTTCAACAGCCATGCTAACAATCCTTGTTTCATAGCTTCACTAGTAATGTCCCCACTCAATTCTGTAAGATTTTCAATAATGGATAATGTGTTGTGAACACCATCAGCTTCTTCTTTTACAGATTCATCTAGACGATCCAAATTTTGTACTAACAAAGCAATCACCTGATGTTCTAAAAGGGCTTCAATTAGAGCTTCAGCACCTTCCTCTGATTCATTTAGAATGTCTACATCCGTAAGTTCTTGCAGAAGTTCAACAGTAGCGACCTGAAAAACAAGGTTTATATTAAATTTAATTTCCACACATAACTACATAATTTACCTAAATACAAGTTCCAATCAAGAAAAAATTCTATACTATACTATATTTCCATCTATAAAAAATATTGTGATGCTTACCGCAATATCTGTATTATCATGAGACAACAATTCTAAGAGACTTGGTACAATTTGTAACTTTACTAATAAAGGATAATAATCAGGGGCAGTTGCTAGAACTCTCATTTCTTGTAATATTTCGTGAAGTTCTACTTCACTCTCCATAAATTTTTCAGGGGAATCTGGAAACTTTATACGCATTTCTCTATTCTTTAAACTTCTTTTCTCAAAGTTTAAAACTATTTTCTTAATAGCAGTTTCATCTACGACTTCGCCCTGAAATAAATTTTACATGTACCTTTCTTCTGCATAAATGGATAAATGTAATTGCCTACCTGTGTTTGTTCGGTTTCAACGAATTTTAAAATCTCGGCTCTTTCCTCTTCAGATATTTGATCTAACGTTTGTACGGAGGGTGTAGGAGATGAAGATCTAGCCATTTTATTAGCTTTGGCTCTTGCAATTCGTCGCATTTTACGCGTTTTCTCCGTTTCATCTTCATCATCTTCGGTTTCAACTGGTCTCTTAAGAGCTTGTGGTGGCTGCCAAAATAAAAAGTAAATTAATACCAATATATCGTAGTACGCAAGATTTCTATACTTTATAATCCAGCAATTCACCAATATCCATTATGAAAAAAATATTATTTTAGTTTGTTAAAGAAAACCAAATGAAACGATTATGATTATTTAGGTTAAGTTAAAACTAAAACATTTTATTTATTTCATAAATAACAGATTACTATCAGCCATCCAACCACAGAACCAG